GCCCCCTCTGTCCTCAGGGGGTGGAATTGGGGAGGGCTGTATGACCCCGCCCCCACGGAGATGCGACCCCGCCCCCTCTGTCCTCAGGGGGTGGAATTGGGGAGGGCTGTATGACCCCGCCCCCACGGAGATGCGACCCCGCCCCCTCTGTCCTCAGGGGGTGGAATGGGGAGGGCCATATGACCCCGCCCCCACGGAGATGCAGCCCCACCGCCTCCATTCTCAGGGGGTGGGGTTCCAGGGAGGCTGCGTGACCCCAGAGGGCTATAAGGGGGGGAGTCGCTCTGTCTCCAAGGGATTGGGATGGCGGGGTGGGGAAGGCAGCCAGCAGGTGCTCCCCCCATCCTAAGAACACACCCCTCGAGTGGTTCCCCCCCCTTACCCAGCTGGAGCCCCAGGGTGCGGGCGTACTCCTCCCCGATCCAGACGAGCAGCTCGGCGCCGGCGCCGATGGCCTGGCAGGCCCGGTAGTAGATGCGCCCGCGGTACTGGAACACCGTCAGGTTGTGTTCCTCCTCCGTGGAGGCGCAGGCCACGTACCTGTGGGGGGGCGGGGGAGTCAAGGTCCCCCCCACCCGGTAGGGGGATGGGGGGGGTCACAAGGCTGCCCTCCGGAAGGGACTCCCCCAGCCCAGAACAGGGACCTCTGGGCAGTGGGGGGGGTAATGGGGGAACTCCCAGCACAGAGCAGGGACCCCTGGGCAGTGGAGGGAGTAATGGGGGGAAGCCCAAGCCCAGAGCAGGGAGCCCTGGGCAGTGGGTGGGGGGAGTAATGGGGGAACCCCCTGGGCAGTGAGGGGGAGGTTATGGGGGGAACCCTCAGCCCAGAGCAGTGGAGGAAAGAGGGGCACCCCAGCAGGGCAGGCAGTGGGGTGTCATGTGGGAGCCGGTGTGGAGGGGAGGGGCCCTCCCCCAGGCCTCACCGCATCCAACTGGACTTGGAGTCATCGGAGGCATCAATGTAGAAATAGGAGCCGTTTTCCCGTACCTGGGGGGACGGGGGGAAGGGGTTAGCGCCCAGAGAGACCGATCCCCTCCCAGCACCCCAAGGGAGACCCCTCCTCCCCTCAGAGAGATCCCCCCCAGCTCCCCTGAGGGATTCCCCCCCCGGGGGGCACTTACCGCCCAGGAGAAGAGGGTGCATTCCCCATGCTCCAGCACCACCTCCCCCTGGTAGGGGCCGAAGATGCAGCCGCGGGGCAGGCCAGGCCGGGCGCTCCACACGCCCAGCCCGCCCTGGGGCCGCTCCTTCACCAGCAGCCCCTGGGGCAGGGAGAGCAGGGCCCGCGAGGGTGCCCGGGCCGGCACCGGTGAGTCGGCGATGAAGGTGGGCGCCCCGTGCCGGGGGCAGGCATCCCGGAAGTACAGCCGGCAATCCTCGCAGACTGGGGGGGTGGGGAGAGAGAGTGAGAGGGGGCCCCAAAACCCTGCACCCTGATCCCTAGAGACTGCGGGGAAAGGGGAACCCAAAACACAGCACCCAAACACCCCCTGCACCCTGATCCTCAGAGACTGTGGGGAAAGGGGACCCCAAAACCCTGCACCCACTGCACCCCGATCCCTGGAGACTGTGGGGAATGGGACCCCAAAACCCTGCACCCGCTGCACCCTGATCCCCGGAGACTGCGGGGAAAGGGGACCCCAAAACCCGGCACCCAGACACCTCCTGCATCCTGATCTCTGAAGACTGGGGGGAGAGAGAG